TACTCCTTTTCCCTCAAGTACCTTTCGGCAAAAGGAGTGGGGGACTCCTGATGGAGTATATGGCCCAGGGACCCCCGGCCCACATACTTCCTCTACTACAATCAGGCCCAACAGGCCCAAACGGGCCAAGCCCAGAAAAATGGAGCTCTAAGCAGCCCACAATACGCAAAGAGGTGCCTTCGGCCCCATGGCCGAAGGCTACCAGTGACAGAATCGAGCTCAGAAACATCACAGGAGAACAAGGCTTGAAAACCAAGCCTTCGGCACCTGCAGCCCTCGGCAGGTAGGAGCCCTCGGTTAGAAGAGCCTTCGGCCCAGCACCCTTCAGCCGAAGGCATCCACCTCGACAGAATATCCTCTTCACATGCGCCTGGATCACCGTACCAAGTACAAACGTCACATCCAACCACCGCATTTAATGCGGCCACATGCGAGTGCCAGTGCCACCCCGGTCGAGGTGACCCCTTGACCACCAGAAAACTGACATGTGTCCTTATCTAGCATTTATTACTACTATAAATAGCACCCCTTTCCCCCATTGTAAACCACGCTTAATACATATCGAATATATACTCTCTCTCTTACTTATTTGCTCTGACTTCTCTCTAGTTATTCTCCGCAATAACCCCTCGGATAAGCTACCCCCGGGTACACTATCCATCAACATCTTTTTATGAGTGAGTTACATCTTTTTATAAGCAAGTTACATCTTTTTATAAGCGAGTTACATCTTTTTATAAGCAAGTTACATCTTTTTATAAGCGAGTTACATATTTATACACACGAGTTGCATGTGACCTGTCTGAATGCGAGTTACATATTTTTTTACGTAAAGTTACATATTGTTACACGTAGAGATACATATTTATACACACGAGTTGCATTTGACTTGACTGAACGTGAGTTACATATTTTAACACTTAAAGTTACATATTTCACACACAAATGTTAATATGTTAAAATTACATAGGCAATATTGGTCTCATTTGAAAGATCATGAAAAATAAAAAATGTTGATATAAATTTTATAAAAATTGGATCAAAAATAAAAAAGTTATTACCATTTTTTAAAAGCAAAAGAAAAAAAAAATATAAATCCGTCCCGGTATACGGTGCTCACCATATACCGGTTGCACGGTATATGCACTCAATGATTTACTAAAACGGCAGCTGACAGGGTGCATTTTGGCTGGAATTTCCTATTAGGTTTGTCATGGATTATATCCCTAACAAAAAAATGCGTTCAAGAGAAGTTGTTTGGATTTGTCATGGAACAAATCCCTGACAAAAATTAACATAAGAGCTTGTCACAGATATTATCCCTGACGAAAGCAGAAAAATCTATTTTTCAAAATTTATCACGTATAATTATGTGATAAATGTTGAATGATAACATATATTTAATTTTTAAATTTAAATTACCATTGACACTATATTGTAGTAATTTATAATTATATTTTTATAAACAATTTTTATTTCAATATATTTTTTGAAAAACATCATATATAAATGTAATATTAAAAATCTTACAAAATATCATACTATAAATTTTCTAATACAAACAACTTCAATTCGTGATTTCAAAAAACGACACACATGTTATATATACGCATAGTATACACATAACACATGTTAATATCATACGAATAGTTCAATAGTGATAATAATAATATTAGTAATAATGATTATATAATAATGATCTTATAATAACAGTAATAATGATTATACAATAATAATCGTAAATATTATAGTGCTAGCTTACTCCGTATTTTTTTCTTACTTCAGGGGGCGTCTGGGGGAGGGGGTCGGGGAAGCCTGGAGTAATCTAGATTGAAACTCACTCTATTGAGTTTCGAACCCAAGAATTCCCGTAAGGGAGAGTGAGTCGGCAACCAGCTAGACTGGACCGCTTCATCTGCTTGCTTACTCCGTATATAATAGCAATAATGATTATACAATAATAGCAAAAAATATTTATCATTTAGCATTAATATATAATAAAATACACGATTTCTTTCATGAAATACTAAATTACAAATACCAAGCAATCAAAATGTGTGGTGCAGCCAGAGTTATTAAGACCTTTTGTCCTCGGTACCCTTAGCTTTGTGGCTTTATCCTACAAGCAATCAAGCCCCATTAGCTTTGTTGATATAGCTGAAGATTTTCTTTCCACATCGGAAAGTGTGGAAGCTTCTTAGACTTCTTATTTTAAAAGATTGATTTTATCAAATTAAAAGAAAAAAATTGATTAAGAATATGGTAAAGGATTATGGCACCAAACAACGATATAGTAACGGACCTCAAAAAGCCGTTATTGGATTTCACTTTCTTTTTTGCATATTTCCTCATATGCGCTGCTATTATTATACAGAAAGGAATCCTTTGTTTAGAACTCTCCAAGATCGTTTACTTTTATCATTTCAAGAATGGAAAGGAAATACCTTGAAAGGCTTTTCTGCTCTCCAACCCACCTCCTCACCTCTCCTACAAAATAGGGATGGACCCGGACCGGTCCGGGTCGGACTTTTTTTTATGTTGTTGAGACCCGGAACCGGCCCGGGTAGATACCGGATCCGGGTCGGGCCTAGGCCTGGGCCGGGTATTTTTTTGCTCTAATTACTTCCTACCTCCCCACCCGACCCCCACACACCCCAAACCCCTCCGAAACACCCAGCTCAACCCATTTACCTCCCAAAGAATTTGAAAAACAAAAAAAAATGGTCTGGACCGGGCCAAGGCCAGTTCATTTTTTGGAGACCGGAGGCCGCCTCGAAATAATACGGTCCAGGTGTACAGGACCAGGACCGGACCCGGGTACCGGACCGGACTGGTTACGGGCCGGTTACGGGCCCGTTGACCCGGCCCGAGTCCATCCCTCCTACAAAATAGACTTTCCTGTTCTCATCCCTCCCCAGTTTCTTGTTTTTCATTTTCTTTTTCTTCTTCTTTCTTTTTGATTTTGTATTATTCTTTGATGAAGGGGGACAAGTTTATTCTGAATGGAAGCTTGATGGATCTTGACCTAGCTCACACTATGTTGACTCACTCACCAACAGAAGAATTTTGTTGTAAATCCAGTTGCAGTGTAAGCTAGTATCTGTATGATCTTGATGATCAGTTACGTTCTTATTCAGAATGAGGAATTAATTATGGGGTTTTTATGTTACATTTTTGGTTACTTATTAAAGTAAATATAGGAGACTGGAAGAAAATATGAATATTGATAAAGGAAGACCATTCTGAATGTTGGTCTTCAGAGGAGTCCTAAAGGCAGTAGAAAACAGATTTAGGAAATTGATGAAATCCGGCGAAGTGATGAGGAATGTCTTTCTATTTCATCACCCAGTAGTCAATCTAGAGAGTTCCCCAAGGTAGATAAGTAGCAGTAAAAAACATACTCCCTCCGTCTCAATATTAACTCCTGTTTTGACTTGTCACAGATTAAGAAAGTGGGAAATGTGTAGCCTAAAGTTATACAGAGGAAAGAGAAAATGGGGACAAATGGTGTGAACCACACATTTTTTGCCAAAAAGAGAAAGAAGAGTTTATAATTTTATATTGGAACTAGGGATGGACTAAACCGGGTCGGCCCGGCCCGAAACCGGCCCGGTCCGCTACTGTGCGGGCCCGGACCGGACCGGGACCGGTTGGCTGGTTCCAGGCTTTTAGCCCGTTTGGGCGGGTCGGGCGGGCCGGGCTCGGGCCCAGTTTTGGGCGAACCGGCCCGGGCTGTTCAGGCCGGGCCCGGGTCAATTTTTTTTCTTTTCCTAGGGTAGGGCTGGGTGTTTTGGGGAGGTTTGGGGGTGGGGTGAGGGGGGGGGATCGGGGGATAACAAGAAAGCAAAAAAAAATAGACATTGAATCGGGCCCGGCCCGGCCCGGCCCGATTAGGCCCAGACCCGGTATCAACCCGGGCCGGTTCCGGGCCCAAGGATTTGCAAAAAAAACCCGCCCGGCCCGGAACCGGAACCGGACCGGCCCGGGTCCATCCCTAATTGGAACGGACGAAAAAGAAAAGAATGAAAATAATATTGGGACAGGGAGTAGTAAAAAGGGCCTTTCTTTTGAACAAAACTTTGATATCATAGTAAAAAACTTTTTCTCATTGAGTTTAATTAACTCTTTTATAAACAAAAGTCCTCCAAACAAACTAGGTATGTCAAATTTAGTTTATAGAAAAGGAAAACTAAATATACAAGTGGGATTGATGGTTTCCTAGTTGTACCTTGCATAAATGAAAAAATATGTACATCGATAAAACATGATTGTTTTCAGGAAGGAATGAGTATATATTTTATTCAACTATCTGAATTCAGAAATTTAAATTGAAAAACAATTTTTTAATGTAAAAATAATCCATATGTTTGCTTTCGGGAGAAGTGGGCACATGATAGCCACATAAATACAACAATGGTGATTTTCTTTATGTGAGCGAGGACATGAACTGAATGAATGTTTTTATGCGTGCAGCGTGCATGTAGGACTCTGAATCCAGGAAACCTAAGGGATGACTTCTATTTAAACCTCATTGATTGGGGAAGAACCAACATTGTAGCCATCATGTTGAACGTTGTTAACCGTAAAGTTCAGCAGTTGGGAGATTTGAATGATAATCATGGCAATCATTATGCAAGCAGTGTTGCATGGTCTAACAAGTAACAACGAAAAACATTAGGCGTAGGACGTTCAAGCTCTGAGATTCAGCTTTGGGATGTTGAGTCTTCCAAGCTTGTAAGCCCCCCATCTCTCAGTGTCGTACTCCTTCACACAAGTGTTCCATGTTTCAACTCTATTCCAAACAAAGACTCTTTCAACAACAGAAATTGATTTTCATTGAATGTAATGTATCGTTTTCCCAGCAAAGATGTTGCAAAAAAAGTCAAAATGCTGAAGTTCTGATGAACTCCGTCTTCTGAATACTCAAATACATTGTGTTTGCACTACTTTTGCTCCTGAAAACAAGTTAAAGTTGCCCAAATTGTGTCTGGTACAGATGAACTCGTCTTCTGAAATTGCTCAAATAGATTGTGCTTTGCTCCTGTCTTTTCCCAAAGGAAAAAATGTAGCTAAGAGTTTTATATATTTAAGCAATCAAGGTTTCCCTCAATAGAAACCTTTTTATTTTCACTGATTTAGTTGAGCAGTAACCAGAATGAATAGGCTGATTCTAAATTCACAGCATTAAGAGATTTTTTTTGTTTTGGTAAAAAATAAAGTTTGATTGAATTTGTTTAGATACGGATGAGCTGCCTGAATTGTTGAATTATGTGCATAAACAATTAAATATATTTTAGAGGTAGATTAAAGAAGGAAATTACAATGCAGAAAAAATTATTACAATGATCATATGTGGTAACTTCAACCAAATACATCCAAGCGCTTACCTACTTTTTCATTATTATTAGTCACTCAAGGGCATATATAGTTGAATAAATTAGCCTTGCATTGTCAAAAATCCAATTGACACATCAGAATGCCAGATAAGCCAAAGAAAAACAGTGGCTATCAAATGGGACCAAGGATGCTACGTTTAGTTCAACAAATCAAAAAAGCAAAATATTATACAATGGACTCTTAAAAAACTTTACCTAACCAAAATTTTAAATTTCTACATGAAACGTGACTATTTTTCAGACCGACGATGCAATGATTCTTCCAAAATTACATTTTACCTGTTATTACAGCATTAGGATTGGTGTCACATTGCCACATGTTTTTGGTAATTATCTTATCTCATACTTCTACTACATAACACATTACAATGGCTACTCAACAGGTAAGATGCCTGCCCGGTCATGTGGGGAGGGTGGGAACAATAGATTGGAAGGGTGATATTCTAACATCAGGAGGCTCTGATACAACTATTATTCATCATGACGGTACGTATATGTTGTACATCTTGTAGATAAAATAAATAAATAATCAACTTCCATTTTCACCCCTCTTTTTTAATATTAACTTTTTGGGGTGCAGTGAGAGAGAAAAAGAGTGTTGTATATACGTGATGAGGGCACACAGTAAGGAAGTATGTGGTTGAAGTGGTCAGAAGAGGGGAACTATCTAGTGAGTGGTGGGAATGACAACATTGTTTACATATGGGATGCTTTCAAGATGAGCTCTGGAGGACATTACCTATATAGCTTCACTGGCCATTCTGTTGCAGTGAAGGCACTGGCGTGGTGTCCTTATAAGTATGACCAGTTGGCTTCTGGGGGGGGGGGGGGGGGGGGGGATGAACGATGGGTGCATCAAGATTTGGAGTCTTGCAAGAGGAACGTGCCTTAGCACCACCCCAGTGGACAGGCAAGTTAGTTTTCACCTTAGATTTTCAAGTGTTGATGTACAAATGAGAGAAAAGGTTCTTTAGGATTGTACCAACAAGGCGGGGTAGCGCTTTTTAAAGTACTTTTAAGAATGGAGAACTAACTAACTATAACACTGTGGCTCAAGCAGATCTGTGGGCTGGAATGGAACATACATCACAAGGAGCTATTGAGCAGCAATGGCTACGCAGAGATATTGGAAGAAAAGGGAAGCTTATGTTTATGGAGGTATCCTTCCATGTCTAAAATGTTTGGTGCACGCAATCATGAACCAAGATCTCTCCATCTCTCACAGGTAGGGATGAAAGTTCTATTTTGGGTCAAGTACATTTAGTTCCTCTTGGATTTGGTCAATTTACATTATGGTTCTTGAGGTTTATGTTTATGACAAATAGATCCCCCAATCAATTTTCCTGTGACTAATGCTGAAATATTGAAGTGTTTAAGGTTCTTGTCAGGGAAAACATATTTAGGATAATGGCAAATTCCCGAAATAGGAGTAAAAACGTTTAAGAACCAAAATAGGAGTACTATGTTTTATTCTCTAAATAGGAGTAATTACTTTACTATCATACTTGCAAAATACTGCCATGTTTAAAGCTTGATAATGCCAAAACATGACAATAATTATTCCTATTTAGGGAATAAATACATAGTAGTCATATTTTGGAATTCACCAACGTTTTTACTCCTACATAAGACAATTTCTTTAGGATAAATGTTAAGAGTAATTTAGTACATATAAAAAACTCCTTTGCTGAGTAATACCACATATGATAAAATGATTTATACCCTCTGTAATTTAAGTAATATCTGAAAAGTCAAGGGTTATATCACTAATACTTCAATACCTCAAGTATCTTTTGGGAATCTGGAAGAACCTCAAAGGAGGTAACATGCAAACAAACAAAAAATGTGTGATGATTATTGTAAACATTGTTACCTGTTTTCAATTCAATCCGCTGAAGAGCCTGGATAGATTAACTGTGGTATCAGCTGGAGCAGATCAAGCTCTCCATTTCTGGGAGATTTTGATAATCTGATCTCTCTGAAGGCATTGCCGATAAGATGACGCCACACACTAGATGTCTCTGGATTTAACAAGACAATGTATATCTGCAATTTTAACAGCTTTGAATTCAAGCAAAAGTGTTGCAGAATTTTAGGAATTTGTACATGCATCTCTTTAACCATTATTAGTGAATGTTAAGAAAAGCAAAGGGAATTCTCATCACGTGATCCTTAGACCAATGTACTTCCTCCTCACACTTTTAAAGGCCATATTTTATTAGTTTTTTTTATCTTACTTTGGCCAATAATATATTTTTTGTTCAAAATGATTTACAATGTGAAAGTAACACAGGAAATGTTTTCTTTGTTAAGAGTACTCTCATAAAGTACACAAACATACATTTTAGAAAAAATGTCGATCAAAAATATTGGTTGAAGAGCAAAATTTGACCATGAAAAGTACAATGCAACCTGCTGTATTAAAGTGGGATGGAGCCAGGCCATATAACAGAGATATAATTAGTAGAAACATAATCGTCAAGATGCTTCAGATCTTTGCTGATCTATAGATGAGTACTAGTTGTAATATGTTCATTTAAAATCAAAGTGAAACTGCAAAGAGTAAGAAGAAATGCAAATCTCCAAAAGAAAACAAACAGATCCTGCATTTTTTTGAAAAACGCTGAATATTAGATCTAAGCAATACCTCCAGTACCTATTAAAACATTCTATGATACTCCCCTCTTATTCACAAATACATTGTCACTAACCAAAGACATTTTGTTCTCAAAACAACTGTCTATCTAACAAACCTATAAACCAAACATAGTGAAATGACATGAATAAGGGCGCGTTGGTAAACATTTTTTGTCTTACAAGTTCTTAAAAATAAATAAACATTTTTTATAAAATATAACGCATTTCAGTGCTCTGGCTGAAATGTTGAATGTGGGGTTAAATGATTGAACGGCATGCATGAGTTACATCCTTTTACTTGAAATGACTGGAAATGGAAAGTGGATTAAAGAACACAGCATTTCTACCTTCAGATTTAATTAAGGTATACAAAGTACTCCCTCCGTCCCTCCGTCCCCCTAATTTTGTCACGTTTTACCTTTTTCGTCTGTCCCATTAAGTTTGTCTCATACTATATTTGGTAATATTTGGGTGGTTACAATTCATTCTTACTTTATTCACACTTTATCAATCCAATACCAACCACACAATTCCACTTTTTCTTAAAAGTTGTGCCACACTCCTTTGTCCCAAACATAGTGGGATGGAGGTAGTATATGTTAAAATTGTTAAATACTTTTTTACACAACTCCGCATACTTAACTACTTCTCCCACCTCTCCAGTAAATTTAGCACATTCAATCACTTCACCATATTAATGCCTTGCCAAATGAGCTCTAAGTTACTCTCCCAAATATATTTCACTTTTGTTTAGTCATTTCAACACCTAAAAATCAAGAATGGTGTGTTTGTCAATTTATGAGAATATTTATAATCACCTTAAGAGTCAAATTTTCCTTCAAGAACAGTTATTGAGAATAAGGGAATAATCAACAAGAGGAATGACCTTCTACCTATAGTCTCCATTCAAAGGTTTCACAAATGGGGCTTGAGTTTCTTTCTGCAACAAATTATGTTATTAAGTTTCCAAGAAGTTTTGGTATCATCCTCTTGGCAACAAATTCAGCTTCTTTAGACCTTCCCTCCACATCTAGTCTATGTTTTAAATCCTCTAAGCACTCCAAAGGCACTTCAATTTTCCTTTCCACCAACTCATAGTAAAGCTCAAAGGCTTCTAGAGCTCTACTGTCTTCTTTACAAAGTGCAGTCAACACATTGCTGCACATATCTATCCCAACACTAAGACCATTATTTAGGCTAAAAAGTAACAATTCACGTGCTCCAGAAAACTCTTTCCTCTGGGAAAGAAACAAAATTAACTCTTCAATATTTACCAAATAGCCATTTTCATGTAGACCCTGAAGAATCTCAAACGCCCGTTCTTGCAAACCGGATTTTAAAAGTATCTTTACGGTTTCGGTCAAAAGAGTGATGTTTGGTCTGATTTTTTTAAGCAACATTAGCACCACTAAATCAGCACACTCAAGAGCACAATCCTGTTTGGCAAGCTCCATAAGAATGTTATGGAACACTGAAGTTGTGGGAAGATGTGAGCTTTTCAACATCTTTTCAAGAGTATCATAGGCGAGTTTTGGTTTTCCCACGCGTAACAGGCCATCAATCAGAGATTCGTACGTTTCATGGTCTGGAAGGAAATTTCTCCTTAACATCCAAACCAAAAGTTCGTGCCCATCCTTAAATGCTCCCTCACTGCAATGTCCCATGATGAGAGTCTTGAAAGTAGAAGGATCTTGAATTCCTCTTCTCATTAACTGTCTAAAGACTTTATCAGCCTTCTTCGTCTTCCCGTTATTGCACAAATATCTGAACATGGAATTGAACGCCGCAACAACAGGTGTACATCCGGCATTCGATAAAACAATTTCTGACTCAAATAAATCATCAAAGAATTTCTCTGCTGTCTCAAAATCTCCCTTCAGACACAAACATCTTATCAAGATACTGAAAGTGGCCGAGTCAGGATGGACTTTTAGGAGAGACATCTTATCATAAGATTCTAATGCCGCCTTTAGATTACCTTCCTCACAATGCTTGTTGATCAATGTGTTGAATGTACATGTGTCGGGAACGAACCCTTTGTTCTCTTTTTTAGCTACTTTGAATAGCTCCTTAACTTTATCATACTCCTGAGCTTCTATAAGGCCTTGTATGAGAATGTTATAGGTGATATTATTGGGTTCTATCCCTAAATCAACCATCTCTTTGAAAATATTCAAAGCGTCTTTAATTGAATTGGTCATGCAATACCCTTTAAGCAAAGTGGTGTAAGTGACAACATTAGGGGTCAGATTTGATCCCTTCTTTACCATGCCTTTTACCACATTTTGAGCTATTTTCACCTTCCCGGCCCTACACAGACCATCAACAAGAGTGTTGTACGTGATCACATCGGGCTCACAGTTGTGTTTCTCCATTTCCTTGAAGAACCTGAAACCTTCATTCACCATTGAATTCATGCAACACCCTTTAATCAAAATATTAAATGTGTGCAAATCAGGGTTGACGCCAAATGTCTTGTGCATTTCATCATACAGTTGGTAGACCATACCTGTTCGACCCCTTTTCATCAAAATTGAGAAGAGGGTGTTGAATGTGACTACAGATGGGGAAACCCCGGTTAATTTCATTGTTGCGAAAAGGCCAACGGACTTTTCAAAGAGCCCAGCTAAAGCATAGTTTTTAATCAGACTGTTAAAGAACCTGGCTTCGAGTTCCACAGCACCTTTAGATCTCTTGGGGATGGAAAATAGGAAGTTCCGGGCGGCATTGAGGTCCCTCTCTTTCCCGAGGAGTTCCAGCATGACGAAATAGCATCGGGGTGTATTTGCAACTCCGTTTTTTTCGGCCCAGGCGAAGAACTGAAGGGCTTTCCGAGATCCTTTGATGAGGCTGATGGTCTGAGCAATAGTATCCGCGGAGAGAGAAGGACCGGAGATAGCGGTGAGAGAAGACTCCGTTTGATGAGTCCACTGCTGGAACTTGATCAGCTCAGCCATTGCTCGAGCTTGCTTGCGTGAGCTTAATTTGGGTTTTACAGCATCATTGCCTTCTGCATCGACGGAAGTGGGTGCGACGGAGGAGACTGAAGGATTGGAAAATAGATCGCTGAGAGTCGACAGGAAAAGTGATAAGGGTTGCTGGGGTGGTCTTCTGATATCATTGGGATTATCAAGGTTGAAGAGCTTCTTCAGCCTTAGAGAGTTAGGAACGACGGCCATGTCGCTCAAAAATGTGAGCTTTACGTTGTGTGAAGGAGCATTAACGGTGAACGGCGGCTAGCTACTGTGCAGACGACCTCTCGGGTGTAGAGTTCGGTACAGAGAAAAAGGAGAGTGACACTCGCAGAATGCCTGTTTGGTTGGAGGATAAAAATGTGTACACTAAGCTTTTTTTGAAATGCATTGAAACAAAATCTAAAAAGTATAAAAAAATAAGATAATTGAGTATTTTTAAATACAAAAATTTGCCCAAAATGAAAAGTGTAATACGGATTAAAACAAGGAAAAAGATACAAATATACCTTTCTCGTATGAGTGTGATAATAAATATATTTTGTTCTATTTTTTGGAATAAATATACCGCTGAAATTTACGTGAAAGTGCATATATACCTTGAAAATATGCAAAAATACCCCTCATGCCGTATAAAGAACAAATTTACCCTTATTAACTTTAAATAAATAAAATAAAATTCAAAAAATACCAAAATAAATTATAATTTCAAAAAGTATAAAGAACCCCTCTCCCAAGAACACCAGAACTGCCACCCCCTCTCCCAAATAGAAAACTTCTCATCACTCACCCTCCAAGAAACCGTCTACTCAACAATCCATTGCTTCGAACCCAATCTCTCCCAAGAGGATGCCCATAATTCATGTTGTCTCCTCCTCAAGCAATGATGGATTCATTGTTGGCTCCTCTTCTGATGGAGAATTTACTTCTAAGAGAAGGACGACCCCTCTAGAACAGAATACGAAGTCCCCTTCAGAACCAAAGACTTACACCAGAAGTCCACCAATGCCAAAGACTAGAGGTCTGGAAATTCATGGATCTGCAGATGAGCAACCATACATTCCCCTCAGAGACTTCATGAATGCAGCTGGTGAGTTTGGACGGCAAGTCATTGATAACTTGCAGAAGCTGATTCTGATCAACAAGGGCACACACAATCAACTGTCCATCATCACTGAACACTACGGATCAGACCTACCCTGTATCCTCAGAATGTTGATGCTCTGAAAGCTTCTCTCCTCAAATTCACTAAATCCACCACAGCAAAAACTGATGCCCTCTCTAGCTCAATGGATAGCATTCAGAATACCCTCTTCTCTATCCACCAAACTCTCTGAGATCAGGATGCTGCAATCTCTAAGCTCTCTAAAGTTGTGGAAGACCGGCAATGATCAGACAACAAGAGGAATGAACAACTGCAAAAGATAGAGGAACTCTGCTCTGTCAACTCTCAGCAGACCTTGTCCCTCATTGCAGTTGATAAGGACAGATACCTGAAGTTGGTACTCCTTGAGGCAAGCTACAAAGAGGTCTCCTCTGTCATCCAGAAGCAGCAAGGCCTAATAGAAGGACTCACTTCTGTTACACAAACACTGTATGAAGCAATTGAAGAAGTCAGAGATACTCAAGCATCAAAATTTCACAAGATAGAACTCCTCCTTGGCAACCTACTTGATGCTGCCAAAAAGGGGGAAGAGGATCATGGTGGTCAAAGCTCCAAAGCTCTCACCATCCAACCACAGAGAACCTCTATTGATCCTACCATCTACTTTGCGAGAACTAATCAGAAGAGGATAACAGAAGGCACCTACAAACCCCTTCCTCCTCTAGAGCCTCAAAGAAGAAATCTTTCAACTTCTCTTTCTCTGATTAGAACAAGAGCATTCTCTACAGACCAGAAAGGGAAATGTTTGAGGAAGTCAGAAGAAGGATGACCCCTCTTCAGCAAGAGAAACTATTCCTAGAAACTAATGGACTTGTTCAAGTTCGTCATGGTGGCTCCATAGATGAAGCTGAAGTATGGTGGGCCAAGCATGTAGTCCCTGCGAAGACATTGCAAGAAGGCATATTAAACTACTTGGATTGCAGGCTCACATCACACTGGTTGGAGTACCAGAACCCGAGGAACTTAGCCTCAATCAAAGCCAAAGTGAATTAGCACCTCCAGATGATTGATGCAACAAAGTTAGAAGAAGAAGAAAATCCATAAAACTCTTATATCTTTTTGTATCTTCATTCTTGGATATTCTTTCACTCGAACTTCTCTGCTTGTTTATCTAACCTTGCTCCTAACTCTATCTTTTGTGCTATTGCTCTGTTAACCTTTCTGTTCTGTTGTTTCTGTTCTGCTTTGTTTTTGTATTTCTTTATCTCTTTGTTTCATAACTCTTACTGTTTTCCTATGCAAAGTTGCCCACCAAGATTTATAATGAAAGTTTTAACTCATTTTTTTATGGTGAAAGGCACTTCTCTGAAAGTAGAATAAGGGTTTTGGCATCATCAAAAAGGGGGGAATTGTAAGGAATAATTTGTATTTAGATTTTGATGATGCTAAGCTGATTAGGATATTAGAGTACCCCCATTAGAAATCTTGCATTAGAATTTTTCTAAGTGTATACAATAGATTATTCGACGAAACAGAAGACCTCAGCCCTTTTGTCATGTTCTCGGAACAGAAACCCTCAGACTCTGTTGCTCACCAAGATTTATAATGAAAGTTTTAACTCATTTTTTATGGTGAAAGGAACTTCTCTGAAAGTAGAATAAGGGTTTTAGCATCATCAAAAAGGGGGAAATTGTAAGGAATAAATTGTATTTAGATTTTGATCATGCTAAGCTAATTAGGATATTAGAGTACCCCACTAGAAATCTTGTATTAGAATTTTTCTAAGTGTATGCAATAGATTATTCGACGGAACAGAAGACCTCGACCCTTTTGTCATGTTCTCAGAACAGAAACCCTCAGACTTTGCCTAGCCAACAGAACTGCTCTACACTTAGACGAATCCAAGCTTTGCTGGCTGAGCCGGTTAAACTAACAGGAAATTCCCTAATGGCTAGGAGCCTCTCAACGGGAAAGCCACTGTTCACGCATTAAATGCTCATTTAATGCACTCCACTCGTTGAGATATTTAAAGGTGATGATTGACCAAGGATCCAGGAGGATAATATTTAATACGTCCCAAGATAGTAAGGCGGCCACTTTACTGGAACCAACCGGTCAAATCAACAGTACAAGCATTTAATGAAGTTGTCTTCTACACTCCAATACACTACTATTTGTATAAAAGATACTTCTCGAAGAACAAATTAAAGGATAACAATTCTCTCACAAGCAAAATATTCAAACTCTTGAGACTACATCTTCAACATCACAACAAGAGAAAAGCTTACGTTGGAAAAGATCTTATTCTTCATATCTTAACTTTCCAATAAAAGAGAATTGTTCCTCCAGTTCTTCAACTCTTCAAAAGCCTCATCTACACATCCTTTGTAACGAAGCAACGTTGGAAAAACCATTTTGATTTGAACACTTCTTGTAAAAGAAGGGATGTCTCAAAGTAACTGGAGTAGTGAAGTGGAAATACTTCAAGGAGACTCGGTGAAACGAGACCAGTCATCAGGAAGCAAGGACTGCATCCCAGGTGACAGCTCGATTTGAAGAAGACGTGGAGAGCTTCTTCAGTGCTAGCTCTAAGTGTTGTAACTTGATCTTTTACAAGCTTAGTGGAACAGTGGACTAGAGGAACGCGTTGTTCCTTGAACCACTATAAAAATCTCTGATGTCATTTACTTTACGCACTTTACATTTCTGCATTAAGATTCTGACTGCTTGACTCAAAAGGTTTGGACTCTATGTTGAGTAGATCTCACCTTATGAGTTAACAGAAAGGCATTTGCCTTAGTGTTTTTCTGAGGCTACTCGAACAGAAAACCTATCCGCTGCCAAGTCCGGTTCTGTCACCAGAACTCGACCTTCTCTGTCAAGTCTTTTAAGACTTAGAGAAATATTTCGAAAACCAGAACAGTCTATTCACCCCCCCCCCCCCCTCTCTAGACTGTTCCTTGAGTAAACGGTACCAACACGATTTCACGAGAGAGAGTAGCAAACAACCAAGCACGAACAATTTGATCCAAGTTTAATCAGTGATAAAATTCAGGATTAATTGATTGAGACTGGTATAAATCATAGACATATAGAGACGGGGCTGGAAGGGATCCATCAATAATGCCCAAGAGACCGTTAGCCACCAAGAAGGACTCGAACTGAGTACGCCAGAGTGAGTAATCTTCAACAACGACTAATTTTGAGGTCATAATTTGAGTAATAGATGCACTGAAAGCCATACCTTAAGCAAGAGATGCGAAGGACGTAGACAACGTAGCAGTAGGAGTCTGTTGGCCAATAACTCTGGTGGTTGGCAGCTGTAGTCCAGGACTGCCCGACAACGTCGGTCCCGCAAAGCGTTGCTCTCAGTAGCTCTAGACTCGGTGTGGGATGCATCAGGCCGCTGTGAAGGCTGCTAGAACGGCGAGCGTAGAGTTGGCGCCGGTTGTGGCCAAGTAAAGGTGGGCACCACACAAGAAGAAGCTGGAACCGAAGAGTGAAACGCCAATGAAGGCCGCGAACCAGGCAGATCAGTCACAAAGGAGATAGGTGCCGTCAGCAAGGCCGATGAGAGAGGCGGTGTTCCATTCGCGCTCAGCACAGGTTTGATCACCGGCGTTGACACAGCGGCGGCGGAATTAGGGGAAGCCATACAACCAAAAAAATTGGAATTGACTAAAAACTAATTGCTCTTGATACCATGTGAGATTAATGGAATGACTTATCAAAGTGGTAGCCCTAGATGTCATATATATAATAAAGTGTGTCCTGATTACAATAGGAAACCTAAGAAATATGGAAACCTAATGAATGGTTATTAATTATTCTATTATAGACTGGTCAAAGACTTTAATTTGGCTATGCTCTCTAAATTGGCCTGGAGGTTCTTCACGGAGGATAAAAGCTTAGTGACTCGTGTTTTAAAAGTGAAGTATTATCCGAACTCGTCTTAAAGTTGGATGGGATGCACTGTTATGTGGATTCCTCCTCAGCTTAAATATTTATTTGGCTGCTTATGAATGGTCCCTTCCTACATATATAAATCTTAATAGAAGGGGGATCAATTCCCCTATGACTCGCAAGTTCTGCGGCGAAGAGGAGGAATTAGCAATTCACCTTTTTGTGACTGCCCAAAGGCTAAGGAGGTCTGGAGAGCAACGAATTGGCGGCATTATAATCCGCTGAACAGATTTGAGTTATGCATAAAGGTAAATTTAATTTGGAAGGGAATAATAAAAGCAGCTTTGGATGGTT